GGATTGTAGGTCCCGTTTGGTTCACGGAAAGAATTTGATGGGAAGTAATATTTTTCATATCTTTTCCAAAGAGAAAGGAAATGAAAAATTCATTTCCCATGTTTGGTAATGTTGAGTAAGTAACAAGGAATTATTTCCTTTCCCATGTTTGGTTTGCATAGGAATGTAAAACAAAGTTTGTTTAATATTCTAATTATACCCATATAAGATAAAAATAAATAAATAATACATTTAATGCTATATTGTAGTTCTAAATTATTACTGAGGATGGTCATGAAAATGTATATTTAATGATGGCCTTAGTTTCTCATGGGAAGGGAAATGAAGCCCAAGGGGGTGGAAGGTTGTACATCGGAGGGCCCATTGCCAACTCCATACCACACCCATGTTCTCCGATTGATCATTCTTATTTTGCATAGATCTTAGAAGAACACTGTGGGAGCAAATATTTTAGCCTCCAAATGCAAGACTCCATGTGGATAAGAGGAATATCCCTTAGATTAATTAATAGAGTCCATTTATTTGGCTAATTAATTAATACTAAAAATAGGGATAATATCTTAAATATGATATATTACCTTTATTTAATAACATAATACCACAAATTAGATATTATCCTAATTAAGAGATATTATCATCATCAAATTAGGAGATTTGATCCCAATCAAATCCCTAATGGACTCAATCTCTACAATTAGGGAAAAATACCCGAGAAAATACCCGAAGCTCTCCACTCTCTTCTCTCTCTCTCTAAAGAATTAATAGTTTCCAAGGGGATTAAGTGTATTTCTTAGGTATCTATGAATAAGCTATTCATTTCAATATGTTTCAAATTGTTGGTAGGATTTCTTATTTTGAGGGTTCGATTTAGGGATTTTAATCTTCTCATATATGAAAATTTTGACTATTACTATTTTCTTTTCCCCAATTAATAGGGACAGAATACAAGGAGAAAATTTGATGCCACAACACATGCTTCAACCTCCTCCCTCTTTGTGGTTGGTTCTAGAAATTGATGGATTACCTATGGATTGACATATGGAATTACAGTTTATGAATTGTTTTTTTCTTTCTTCTAGCTGGTGTCTTCGCTCGGCTGTCCAAAATGAGTGTTTCTTCAAATGGCCTCAACACCCTGGGTTGTACTCTGCTCCCTTGTGGTCCTATGTATTATGTTTGATTGTTAGTTTTGATTGTTAGTTTTGGGTTTTTTTGCCCACGGGTGGCTTTTACGAAAGTTCCTTTTTCTGATTTTGCTGTGGTTGCCACTAGGAAGAAAGAGCTGCTTGAGTTTACAGCCCAACCTTTTTTATTACTATGATTTCACCTATGGAAGGTGATCTGCTGTAGAAGATTATTTGATGAGGAAGATTTCATTGGTCTACATGCTATATGTGTATGAAAAACAAAAACTGTTTATTCACCGTAGTAAAGTGATTAATTTCATTAATTAGAATAACAAGTTTTACACGAATTCATTACAAAGTCCATCCGTTGATTTTTTTGCCTTTTTTTTTTCCTGAACACAGAGTATGCCATCTGAAATCATTTAAGTGGGCATCTACAATATTTTACTATCATGAAACACCCATAAACAACGGATTAAGAACAATTTTGAAACACATTATGTAGCAAATAGTACGTAAACATTCTTGATACATGATATCACTATCCAAAAAGCATAGATTCATATAATATGTCTATGTAATGCACATATACGGAGATAACAAGACCAATGATCACCATTGCGACAAGAGCTTCCCCCTGATGAACATAATAGACTGTTCCTGATGCAAGACTACAACATCAAAGATACACCAAAAAAATAAAAAAAAAATAAAAAAATAATAGACTGTTCCTGATGCAAGACTACAACATCAAAGATACCCCAAAAAAATAAAAAAATAAAAAAAAAATTATTGTCTAATGAGCATAAATTCAAGTAAAAGAAAAGAAAATTGATCACAACTTAAGGAAAAAAAAAACTCACCATTAACAATATTCTTGGTCATCACTCTCCATATCTTGGCACAAGTCTTCTGACTCTGCATTGCCTAAATTTAGATTCATAATAATCAAATTAAACATAAGCTTTTGACCTTACTATTAGAAATATAGAAAAAGAAAAAGAAAAAGAAAACAAAAAAGTGAACCAACTTACATAGATTCGTTGACGGCCTGTGAGGCCCAACTCAGCTTTGTTTGTTCTGATGGGCCTTGGGCTGGATGTGTCAATTTTTGGCCCAAACAGTTTGTCCTATAGGTTGTGTCAAA